AGCTGTCTTATTGGCACCAACCCATATTAAACTCATAAGTATCTATTTTGTATTTCACGTCCGCAGACCTTATATTCTCAGATAGGACCGTCGGCCAAGACATGGGTTATTTGTGCTTACCCTCCTCAAAAAAAGTCAGACTTCTTTTTGCTGTAAAAGAAATGATTTCTGCCTTCAAATGGCTCAGGCACATGGCAGGAGGGAAGGGCAGATTCACCCTCTACACTCAGGCAGACTGGATGGCCACCTTTCTGCACTCAGGTGTTTTTGTTTTCTCCCTCTGTGGCCACCTACAAAGAGATCCCGCCAGAACCCACAACCTCTATGGAGGCTCAGAACACCCATAGGAGATGGTGGTCAGAAGTTAGTTTTCCCAACAAATTAACTTGTATTTCACCTCATCCAGTTAGAATATCCAGCCAATCTGATTTGGCCTTTAATGTTCTTTTCTTTCCCCTCCACCTCAAGCACCAGAAAACTTTTTTTAAACCCTGAAAGCCCTTTCAGTGGGGCTTTGCAATGTTGATTTGCTCCTTGGCCAGGATATTAACTAACAACAGTAGCTCACACTGATTCTGCCATTACTCTGTGCCAAGAAGGTACCAACGATTCATAATTACAAACTCATAACCAAGAGGATATTATCATTAGCCCCATTTAAGGAATAAAGAAACGGAGGCTCAAAGAAGTGAAGCCACTTGCCCAAAGCCATCCAGTAAAAGCTGGAACTTAAACCCAAACTTCTCTCCGCTCCAAAACCCCAGGACTGGCGCAGAGCAAACGAATTAAGAGGACGAGCAGTAAGGGCTGTACTCAAGGAACCGCCTGACCACAGATAACTGTCCCCCTATTCACTTCCCCTTTCCCGGTGGACTTTACCCCGAATGGCTCACCCGGCTACCGAGGGCAGAGAAGGGAGAAAGAACTCCCTGCGCTTCTCCGGAGCGCTCAACACCATCCCCAGGGGTCTGAGGCTCCTCAACAGCTCCAAAGTAAACAAAACGCTCCAAGTGAAAGGCCCAGCACACAGTAGGTGCTTAAAAGGGTTGTTACGGTGCCAGGTTGCCAAAGCAACAGAGCAGACTGCATTACTCCCATTCTTAAAAACTAATTTAAAAAATAAACAGTAAAAAGCCTAAATATCTTCAAAGCAGGAGGGTCTCAGGTGCTCAGGGGAAGTGGGTCGGGTGCAAGGTTACGGGAAATTCGGGGTTGCTGGGGAGAGCGCAGCAGCGTGGGGAGAGGGCGCGGGCGCTGGCTGGCAGGGCGCCCCCCCGCCCCCACCCCGCCCCGGTGCCTGGCTCACAGTAGGCGCTCATTCAAACGTGTTGAATGAATGAATGAGAGGCGCGGCCGGCGTCAGCGCCGCCCAGAGGAGGCCCGGGGCGCGCTCCCCCGGGGGCAAGGTCCAAGGAGAAGTACCGCATGGCACAGAGGGCGCACCGAGGCCCTGCGCCGGAACCGGCCCCCAGACCCGACGCTGGCCGGGCAGGGCCTGGGCGGCAGGCGGAAGGCCCCGGGGCTCAGACCGGGCTCCCCCGCCCCAGACCCGGGCCCCCCTCTTCCCGCGCCCCGGCCGGCCTGCAGCCCAGGAGGCCGCGCACGGCCCAGGCGGGCCCCGGGTGCGCGGCGGCTGCGGCAAGGTGACCGCGGGCGCGGGCGCGGCACCCACCTTCTGAGCTGCGCGCACGTTGTCCTCGCCGAACAGGCTGCTGACGCTCTGCGAGAAGGTGTTGACCGTGCGGCGATAGCTGTTCTTCTCGGTGCCGCCGCGGCCCCGTGCCCCTTGCACGCCCGGGGCCAGCAGCCCGAGCAGCAGCAGCAGCAGCAGGAACCCAGCCTGGGCCTGGGGTCCGCCCGAAGCGCGCGCACCCATCCTGGGGCCGGTGGGATGCGGGGTCCGGGAGAAGGGTGAGAGCCGCACGGTGGGACGCCGCGGCTCCGGCGGGGACCGCGTTGGCGCGCTCGGTGGCAGAGCACCGCACCCCTGCCCGCGCCGCCGCCGCCGCTGCCGCGCCACCTGCCCCGCCCCGCGCGCACAGGCTCGAAGGCCCTGCCCACGCTGCGCCCCGCCCCCGGACGCGGGACCCGCCGGCGACCTGACCGGAGCGCGAGAGGCGGCTGTGAGGTTGATGATCTCCCCGCCCCCACCCCCCGGAAGTCTTCCCTGACCTGGTGGGGCTTTAACCTTTTCTTTTTTTAAAAATAATTTTTAACTTTTCTATAAAAAGCAACCCAAGCTTGTAAAAGTGGAAACAGCCCCAACAAGGACAATGAGTGCAATTGATTGGAAAATATGAACTGTAAACATTTTATATATCGCTGAATTTATAATGACACCCCAAAATTGGCCACCGTTGCCGATGGCATGGGCACGAGCTTATTCGTTCATTCTGAAATGTTTAAAAGAAAAGCATTAAGCATCCCTCCTGCCCTTCTTCAAAGAACTCTATTTCAGAGTCACAAAATAGTCGAGGACCGAAAGTTCCTTTTAGGAAAGTCCCGCTAGTAAATGAGGAGGGAGTGAAAGAGATTAGAAAATTAGAAATTAGAAAATCCGTTTGCACTCCTTAATGAAATGACGGGTCCAGGCCACGATCATCAAGACACTAAAACCAAAAGGTGGCAGGGTCGGTGGGGAACTTAAAAAAGGAGGCGCCAGGTGGTCAGGACCTGGACCCGCCAGTCTTAGTGGCAGAAGTACCAGCGCCACCTATGATGGATTCTTGCCAAACACTTTGGACCCAAACTTGATGTGGCCTCCACATATAACCAACAGTTTACAGGAAATATGGGGGATGGAGGAAAAAAATTAGAAGCAGCAGAAGCAATCAGCTAAAGCCAGAATGTGGAGCATTCAACACGATAAATGACCCAGTTTCCTCAATAAGTAAATGACATAAAAAATAAAAGCAGGGTGGCTTCCCTGGTGGCGCAGTGGTTGAGAGTCCGCCCGCCGATGCAGTGGCCACGGGTTCGTGCCCCAGTCTGGGAAGACCCCACATGCCGCGGAGCAGCTGGGCCCGTGAGCCATGGTCGCTGGGCCTGTGAGTCCGGAGCCTGTGCTCTGCAACGGGAGAGGCCACAACAGTGAGGAGCCTTGTTTGCATCCTAAATCAAACCATGTCTAACCAGACATTTTTTGAGACCACCAGGAAAATTAAACTTACCTTTTGTCAACCCAAAGAGTGAAAAATTGCCTCTTTTTGAACTTACATTTTTCTAGATTCCTGGTGAGGTTTTCATATATTCACTGGCCTTATATTTCTTCTTTTTTTTAAAGGAAACTTTTTTTTATATTGAAGTATAGCATACCAACAGAAAAATACACAAATCATAAGGTGCCTCTCCATGAATTTAAATGACACACAAGGTGACCAGCACCCAGGTTGAGAAAAGGAACATTACCAGCTTTGCAAAACGGCTCCCTTTGCCCTCTCCCATTCACTACGCCCCCTCCAAAATTTAGGGGATTCATTTTGCCTGTTTTTGAACTTTATGTGAATTGGATCATAAAGTATGATCTTTTGTGATTGGCTTCTTTTGTTCAACATTATATTAATGAGATCCATGCTGTTGTGTATTTGCCTTTTCACCTTTTGCTTTAGAGAGTGTTCTTTATAACTTCTGGAGATAATACTTTGGTATATAATATTTTAGAAGAAAATATAAGAGAATGTTCTATTACCTACCTAATATTTTGAAGATGAACACATGTTTTATTTACTTAAATAAACATATTTAAAGAAGAAACTGTAGATCACTATCATCCTAAGCAATAAAACCCATGAAAACACAGGTCTGATTTGCTCATTATAACTTTTTCCCCCCAAATCCTTTTTAATTCATTAAAAGCATGTTCATATGTATACTATCTAAATCCTCTCACGCACCACCTGTGTATTCGTGGGGGCTTTTTTTTTCTCACACACACACACACACACACACACACACACACACACACTGTATTTTATTTTTTACAAGAGATAAATAAACTGAAACCAAGCATTGTAAATGGATGATCGCAACAAAAGGGGGGTTTGTTTTTGCTTTTGGGGGGAAGAGGGGAACTCATTCAAATTAACCACACTCTTCATTCATTCATTCATTCCAATCAACAACAATTTATTGCTTACCTGCTCTGCAGCATATCTTGCTCTGCATTGGCTCACGGGCCCAACCGCTCCGCGGCATGTGGGATCTTCCCGGACCAAGGCACGAACCCGTGTCCCCTGTATCGACAGGCAGACTCTCAACCACTGCACCACCACGGAAGCCCCAAATAAGTCTTAAAAATAACTTTATCCTTTCTAAAACTCTAAAATAACGCCTAGTGCCTTCACTTTTTTTGTGATATAATTTAAATGTTTGCCCTTAACCAATTAATGCTTTTAACAGAAAAATGGAGACACAATATAGATGTTCTAGTTGCAAGATACAGGATTCAGAAAATACATTATTTCCCAGTGCGCTACAGACAATGAGATGTGGTCATGAGAATTCAAAGTTGTCTAACAGATGCCTTCTTTTAGTTCTACCTGTCACTGTAATGGAAATATTTAGGGCCTTTTTATTACACAACTGTTTCTCGTAGGAATATCAAAAAATGCAGATAAGCAAAAAAGAGAAGGAAGAAGATTGTATTGGGGCAGGGTAATATTTTTAAAGGTGACAGAACACTCCCATTCCCAAATAGCCAAATTAATATTAGTGTTCAGAGACTCAGACCAAACCTCTGTGAGAACAGTCCGGGGCTTAAACTGAGTCCTCCGCAGCCCCGCCCCCTCCTCTAACTTGGTCCCGCCTCCGCCGCCGCCCGGCCCTGGCTTTCAGCGTGGCCCGCCTCCAGCCCCGCCCCCAGGGATTCCGTTAGGTTCAGCTCTCGCGAGAGCGCAGCCCGGAAATTTTCCGGCCGGAACGCCCGGTGGGAACCCACGTGGGTTGGGCTTCGTAGTGTGCTGGTCGCAGGACCCGCGGGAGCAGAACAGGAGCCGGGCGCCATGGGGAAGCTGCGCCGAAGGTACAACATCAAGGGGCGTCAGCAGGCGGCCCCCGGCCCTTCGAAGGGCCCTCCCGAGCCGCCCCCTGTGCGGCTGGAACTGGAGGGTAAGTAAGGCGCCCCCGGACTAGGGCTGGGATTCGGGGGAGGGACCAACGAGGGCCTCGGGGCCACGGCTGCCCAATGGGGGCCGAAGGGCTCCCGGCCTATGCCCTGCCTCCGCGACTCAAGCGGGCGACACGGAGAGACACCCCCCTCCCAGATGGTACAAAGGAAGGGGGAATAGTGACAGTTTCGTTTTAACTGAATTTGGAACAATACCTGGAGTTTTTTTCCAGTGGGGTCCAGCCCAAGTATAGCTATAGGGGGAGTCTGGGCAAGGAATTACAAGGTAATTCCATCCATTCTGATGGCTTCGATTATAACCTCCCTACCAGCGACCCCTAAGTTTGTATTTTTCAGCCCAGACCTGTCTGCTTAGCTCCAGGCTGCTTAACATTTCTGCCCAGATGCCTCCGTTTTGTTAGGAATGGCTGCTATGTGCCAGGCACTATTCTAGGAGAGTAACAAGAGGAGATTAAGGGAAAAACTCCCTGCCCTGCAGAGCTTCTGGGAAGAGACAAGCAAAGATAAACACAAAATACATAGAACGTTTTGCATACATTCATACTAAAGAGATAAAGCACAAGAGGTGTTTAGACAGGTTGCAGTGTTTCATGGCAGGGGGGGTGGGGGCGGCGGGGAAGGCCCTATTGAGAAAGCGTTGAATCCTTTTTTAAGACCTGAAGGCAGTCAGAATGGCTGAGTGGAGATGAAATTTAAAATGCAGGCAGAAAAAAATAAAATAAAATGGGGGCAGGATCTTCTAGGGCCTGGTAGGTCATGGTGAGGATGGTGGCCCTGCAGAGTTGAGAGCAGAGGAGGGACACAGGATGGGCTTAGGGTTTTTTTGTTTTTGTTTTTTAATAAATTTATTTTATTTACTTATTTTTGGCTGCGTTGGGTCTTCGTTGCTGCCAACAGGCTTTCTCTAGTTGTGGCGAGCAGGGGCTACTCTTCGTTGTGGTGCGCTGGCTTCTCATTGTGGTGGCTTCTCTTGTTGCAAAGCACGGTCTCTAGGCGTGTGGGCTTCAGTAGTTGCAGCACGCGGGCTCAGTAGTTGTGGCTCGTGGGCTCTAGAGCACAGACTCGGTAGTTGTGGCGCACGGACTTAGTTGCTCCGCAGCATGTGGGATCTTCCCTGACCAGAGATCGAACCCATGTCCCCTGCATTGGCAGGCGGATTCTCAACCACTGCGCCACCAGGGAAGCCCAGGGCTTAGGTTTTAACAGCATCACTTTGCTGTGTTGAGGAAAAGCAGTAGAGGGCAGAGAATCTGGGCGATCTGATAGGAGGCTGCTGAGTACATCGACTCTAGCAGGAGTTGATGCTTGGACCAGGGAGGCAGCAGTAGAGGTGGTGAGAGGTGGTTGGATTCAGGATGTATTTGGAAGATGGAGCTTAGTTCTGGCTGTGCGCAAGAGCAAAGGACACGTCAAGAACAAATCCCAGGCGTGCGGCTGGAGGCTGGAGAAAGCAGGCATGGGCAGCTTGCGGGGAGGCCAGGAGCTTGGCTTTGGATATGAGTGGTTTGGGGGGCCTGTCAGATATCCAAGTAGAAGGGTCAGCAGGCAGCTGCTGAATCGGACTCTTGAGAGAGGCAAGTCCAGGCGAGATAGCAGTTTGGAATCATCTGTGTATAGATGATATTTAATTGAAGTCTGAAGACCAGACTGGCTCGCTGAGGCAATAAGTCCGGTCCAGTGAGGTGGGAAGAGAACCCTGGGAGAGTGTGGTTGTCCGGGGACCAAGAGGAAGACCTGCTGTCTGTGTCAGATGTGGCCGTGGGATCAGGCAGGGAGAGAAAGGACCGTGGATGTAACACTGGGGAGGCCATCGGCGACCATGATGGGTCCAGTTTCGGGGGAGAGTTGGGCTGAAGTGATTGAGTGGGTTCAGCTGTCTTGCAGGCCCCTGAGACTGAACACATTCCAAAGTTGGACTCATCCAGCTGCTTGTATAGGATCCCTGAGGGCCAAGCCGATTTAGGTGTTAGGGAAGAGTGAGTCTAGATTCAGGAGGTGGATGGAGGGAGAGAGAGCCGGGGCCGCTGGGGAAGCCTGCTTCCCTCGACCCGCTAATCAGCCTCTTCCACACTCTCCTCTTGGACCCGGAAGGCAGTGGGGTTATAGGAAAGATTGTCAGAGTGGGAATCTGGAGTCCGAATTCCCGCCTCGGAAGTTGCAGGGATAGGCTGGGAGTTGAAGCAAATCGCCTGGCATCTCTGTGCCTCAGTGTTCTCCGCTGTCAAATGGGTCCAGCAGTAACAGTCATCCTACCTGCTCTCAGAGTCATGGAGGTGGTATTTTGGGAGAATGTTTGGGACTGAAACGAGAATGCTTTGAAAAGTAAAGACAAGCTGTAGAGATGTGACATTGTCCTGTGATGGGCGTCATCCATTGTAACAGCAGTGACAACTCAGGAAGTGAGATGGCCCCTCTAAGAGGGCAGAAGACCCCTGGACTGACAGTTGGGTGAGAGCAGAGGGACCCGAGGTCTCGTAGACTGAAAGATTTGGGGAAAGTTGTTTCTCACCCCAGAACAAGACATCTCTGTCTATCTCCACCTTTCTCAGGGGCCAGAGGGATCTTACAAGAATATAAAGCAGGTTACCTTCTTCAAAGAGCTTTCCCCGATCCAATATCACCCTTCTTCTTATTTTTGTTTTTAGCGCATCTCCCCCGCCCCCTTTTTTTCTATAGCACAGTGGTTCTCAAATTTTTTGCACCAAGAACCCTTGTACATTCCTAAAAATTGAGGACCCCAAAGTGCTTTTGTTAGTGTGGGTTGTGTCTGTCGATATTTACCGTATTAGAAATTAAAACCGAGAGATTTTGAAACACAAGTGCGTACAAGCACACACTCGTTTAGCTGTCACCACGTCACACGATTTGGAGCCTTTGGAAAATGCTGCTATACACTCTTTTCTTTTTCTCCCCCTGCTTTTAATTTGTTTGAGAACTGCAGAATGGATGGCTTGCATTGCTTAAAATAGTCTCATTCTTCTTACTGAGGAGCACACAACCTCTCCTACACTCGGTAATGTCATAAAGATGTACAAAGCCTGAGCAGTTAGTAAAAGTCAGACACTGCCTGTACGGGGACTCCAGCGTTGGGTGTCAGGCAGAAATAGGTGCTCCCCAAGCCCCCTCATCCCCATGGTGCTACAGTAGGTTTGAGTTGAAGAGTGATAAGGGAGCTGGATTTTGGTCTGAAACGTATACTTTCAAACTCCGACTTTTTTTTTTGGCCACGCCACACGGCTTTTGGGATCTTAGTTCCCTGACCAGGGATTGAACCCGTGCCCCTGGTGGTGGAAGCGTGGAGTCCTAACCACTGGACCACCAGGGATGTCCCAGACTCCACCATTTAAAAATAGATGTGACGCAAGCTTGGTACTCAGGCCACTGTACACGTGTGAGAGAGGGTCTTTCAGAGTTATTGTAAAGATGGTTTACCGTAAAGATGGCCCCGCTGGGAGGGAGGCGCGGTTGCAGCCTGTTCCCTCCTTGCTGCGCCCCCATCCCTCTGCCCGCAACGCGAGGACGGCTGACCCGTGGCAGGTGCTGGGTGGACCGGTGGAATGAAGGTGTGACGGGCGTGCGCCCCCGTTCCTATGCGGGTGCTCGGGTGGCTCTCACTGTGGGCAGGAGGGTCAGCCCGGAGGAAAACGGCGTTAACGCAGCATCCTGAGACTCGCAGGCGTCCGCACTTTCCATCCTCCAGGACCGTGGGTCAGGCGAGCGTGTCTTTTCAGATAAGGACACGTTGAAAGGAGTCGATGCAAGCAACGCGCTCGTCCTGCCTGGCAAGAAAAAGAAGGCCAAAGCCCCTCCCCTGTCCAAGAAGGAGAAGAAACCCCTGACCAAGAGGGAGCGGAAGATGCTGCAGAGAATCTTAGAGCAGAAGGAGAAGAAACGCCAGGTGTGCGCACGCGCTGTCTGCACGGCAAGGGGTGGGTCGGGGCGTCTGTGGCCCCCGACGTGATCCCTGTGGCCGGGACTGTCGGATAGAACTTTCCAGAAGGAGGGGCAAGTTCTGTGTCTGCAATGTCCAGTACAGTGGTCACCAGCCACACGTGGCTGTTGAGCGCTTGAGATGTGGCCAGTGTGGCCGAGGAGTTGGATTTTTAATGTGATTTGGTTTTAATTAACTTAAATGCAAATAGCCACGTGTGACTAGTGCCCCGTACGGGACACACAGATCCAGAACCTTTCCAGTCCTTGGGGGATGTGCTACTTGGGTATCTGTCAGTCTGGGACAGGTCCAGCTTTGTGGAGGCCACGTGTTTGTTGAACCAGGAGTTGGTCGATCAACGTGCTCACTTTTTATTCTCCCCCCTCATTCATTTTGTTGTTTATTTTTTAACTTCATTCTGGAGAATTTTAACCTTTTTTGCTTAATTTTTTTTTAAGGAGAAAATTTTGTAACGAGAAATTCAAACATATATAAAGGTAGAGACAACAGTGTCATGGACTCCAGTGTGCCTGTCACCAGCTCCAACAGTTGTCAGGCTCATGGTCAACCTTGGTCGTCTCCACAGCCGGTCACTTTCCCACCCCCTGTGTCAGAGCCCAGGCAGCATCAATCTGTACTAGTTTCTGTGGCTGCCTTGACAAGTGGCCACAAACTGGGTGGCTTAAAACAATGGAAATGTGTTCTCTCAGTGATCCAGAAGCCAGAAGTCTGAAATCGAGGTGTCAGCAGGGCCGTGTCCCTTCTGAACTTTCCAGGGGACAGTCCTACCTGGCCTCTTCCAGCTCCTGTGGCTCCAGGTTTCCTCGGCTCGTGGCCACATTGCTCCAGTCTCTGCCTCTGTCTTTATGTGGGATGCTCCCCCTGTGTGTCCCTCCTCTGTGTATCTCTCATAAGGACACTTGTCTTTTTCTTTTTCTTTTTTGTTTGTTTGTTTTTCTGTTTTGTTTTGTTTTGTTTTTTGCGGTACGCGGGCCTCTCACTGCTGTGGCCTCTCCCGTTGCGGAGCAAAGGCTCCGGATGCGCAGGCTCAGCAGCCATGGCTCACGGGCCCAGCCGCTCCGCGGCATGTGGGATCTTCCCGGACCGGGACACGAACATGCGTCCCCCGCATCGGCAGGCGGACTCTCGACCATTGCGCCACCAGGGAAGCCCCTATTTTTCTTTTTTTAAAAAAATGTTTTGGCTGCACCACGTGGCATGCAGGATCTTAGTTCCTGACCAGGGATGGAACCTGTGCCGCCTGCAGTGGAAGCGCAGGGTCTTAACCACTGGACCGCCAGGCAAGTCCCAAGGACACTCATCTTTGAATTTAGGACTCACCTGGATAATTCAGGATTTCATCTTGAGATCCTTAAGCTAATTACCCTTAACTTAAAAAGGCCCTTTTTCTGAATAAGATCCCATTCTGGGACATGGATATATGTTTTCGGAGGGCCACCATTCAACCATATACATATCCCTGAATATTTCAGTTTGCATCTCTAAAATAAGGACCGTTTCAAATTACCACAGTGCCATTAGCATGTCTGAATTTTTTCAAAATACCATTAGATATCCAGTAAACAGTCAAATTTCTAATTGTTTCATAGATGCTCTCCACCCGCATCTCTTTTCTTTCCCCCTTATATTTGTTGCAGAGATTGGTTTGTTTGTCTCAGAGACTTTCCCACTGTCTGGATTAAAAACTTTTTATCTCTGATATAAACATGGTCTTCCACCCTCCGAATTTCCTATAAATTGATATTTGGGTCTGGGGCAGTGACTCTCAACTGGGACAGTTTTGCCCCCCACCTCCGGGAACATTTAGCCAAATCTGGACATATCTGGGGTTGTGACGATTTGGGGGACGCTACTGGCATCTGGGGGGTAGAGGTCTGGGATGCTGTTAAACAGCCTGCAGTGCTCATAACATCAAAAAATTATCTGGCCCCAAATGCCAGTAGTGTGAAGGCTGAGAAACCCTGATCTAGAGGCTTCAGGAGATTCTCTCTCGTTAGTCTTTCTGGCAAGGTGACCACACGGCGTGCTGTGTCCACCAGGGGACACACAGGCCTCCCGTTAGCATCTCTGACGCTTGGTCCCTGGAGCCCTTCATGCAGGGGAGGCTCACTGTCCTGTGAGTGTGTCCTATTTTAAATGCTGTGAGCATCTTTTCTTGCTGTTCTGTATGTTGTTTTTTATCGATTATGAAATGTGTGTGTGTGTGTGTGTATGTATATATATATATATGTATATATATATATATATATATATACACGAACACGTATAAAAGCAGATATAAAATTATATCTGTGTAATTTCAAGAATAACAAAACAAACACTCATGAATTGCTCACCCAGGGGAAAGGAACCAACTGGACCCGCCCCCGCTCACTGCTTTATTCAGAGCAGAGTGGGGACCACTTCCTGTCACACACACAGCTGTTCTTCCCTTGTACTAACTGCCAGGAAGTCTTGCATTATACAAATGGGCCCTACTTTATTTATTCCATCTCCCGTGGATGGGCATCTGGATAGTCGATGATCTTCCCTTACGACACACCGTGGTGCAAAGAGAGCCTTGTTTATCCAACCCCAGACTCTGTAAGGGGGCAGAAAGCCACCCTAAGCTCACGCGTCTGTTGGCGTTAAGAACTCCATGAAGGATGGTAATTGCAGTTCGACCTTTGGTTTAAAAAAGACTGTAGGTGTTAGTGATGCTGGAATTTTATTTAGAGTCTCAGCTTCCCTTCTGAAGAGGGGATCATGATGCCAAATGTGTAACACACTCATTTCCTTCCCCAGCGAGCAGACATGCTCCAGAAATTGAGCGAAGTCCAGGTTTCAGAAGCTGAGATGAAACTGTTTTACACCACGTCCAAACTGGGCACTGGGGACCGCATGTACCGCACCAAAGAGTGAGTCGGCTGGCTCCTTCCTGAAGCCTGTCCTTCCCGCCAGGGCTCCCAGGGGGGCTCAAGGGTCATGGCGTCTTCTGGGGTTATGAGAAAATACATTTGCAATGATGCGTGTGCTAAAATGCCTCAAACGGGTAGAAGCCTCAGATAATGCAAAATATCCTACAGTGCACAGGATGGCAAAGTTCTTACTCCAGGATGCTGGCGTTTTCCTGCAACGCTGAGTCCTGCCTTATAGGTCCTTCCAGCTTTTGCAGGGACGAGTGGGCTAGAAGTTGTCATCAAGGAGGTCAAGGATTTGATTTAGCCCATTAGCAGGTTTTGTTTGGTTCATGTATCATCGTTAGACATTTGGATCTTTTGAACATGTATGAGTCTCCTAGGGCTGCAGTAACAGGTCACCACAAACTGGGGACCTTGAAACAAGAGGAATTTATTCTTGTGGTCCTGACCGCCAGACGTCCAAAGTCAAGGTGTTGGTGGGGTTGGTTCCTGCTGGAGGCCAGAGAATCTGTTCCAGCCTCTCCCCCAGCTTCTGGTGGTGCCAGCCATCCTGGGCTCTCCGTGGCTGGTAAACATGTCACCGCAGTCTCTGCCTCATCGTCACGTGGCATCCTCTGTGTGTCTTCCATGGCCTTCTGTCTGTGTCTGGGTCTCTGTTTTCTTTTTTCTTTTTTTTTTCTGGCCACGCAGCATGCGGGATCCTAGTTCCCCGACCAGAGATTGAACCCATGCCCCCTGCATTGGGAGCATGGAGTCTTAACCACTGGACCACCAAGGAAGTCCCCTGGGTCTCTGTTTTCTTATAAGGACACCAGTTACTGGATTTAGGGCCCATCCTAATCTAGTATGACCTCATCTTAATGACATCCTGAAGACCCTGTTTCCAAATAAGGTCACACTCTGAGCATCTGGGTGGCCATGAATTTTGGGGAGACACTATTCAACAGTCAACATTTAAGAATTAGGAGATTTCACATTAAAATCCAGGGTCCCCCCCTGGTCTTGACCAGTTGGATGATGTGGCCCCACCAGCTGGCCTTCCCACAGAGCAGCCGGCGTTAGATGGGGCCCGTGTGCTCCCCCCAGCCCAGGCCCCTGCCCACTGCTCTCACACTTGGCCCTCTCTGCTCATTTCCAGTACTGACCTGTTAAGCCTTGTGCATTTAACGACTGCTTATCAAGTGCAAACTGCATCTCAGGCTCTCCTGTGGGCCCTAGGAATAGAGCAGTGCCCAAAAATTAAATTTCTTCGCTTAAGAAACTCACATTCTAATGGTGGGGAGATGGGCAGTGATCCAGTGGATACATATATATTTAGTGCTGGTGAGCCCTAAGCAGAAGAGGGCAGGTAGAAGGGAATGGAGGCGGGTGGGGGAGGTGATTGAGGCTACACGGTAAGGGAAAGTCTTCCTGAGAGGCGTCCTTGGAATCAGGTAAGGGAGCAGGTGTCTTCAGGGAGCATGGGCAGCGGGTGCAAAGGCCCTGCGGCAGGAAGGGGCGTGGCCTTTGCTTCCTGGCCTCTGAGGAGCCTGCAGCAACCCAGAGCTGCCTCAGGTTGACTGGCCCGTCCTAGGGTCTGACTTCTGGCTCTCCCGGCAGGAAGCCCGACAGCGTGGCAGCCCAGGGTCTGGAGAAGATCAGCAGCCTCAGCGGGGCCCGCCGGAAGCGCCACCACCAGGAGGCAGAACAGGAGGAGTCTGAGTCCTCAGCGGAGTCTGGACCCGAGGAGACCCCAGCGGACGAGCTGGCAGAGGCCGGTGCAGGGTCATCCCCAGCGCATCTGCCACCAGCTCCGCCCGGGGCCAGGGGCCAGAGCCCAGTGCCCAGCGGGCTGGCCGAGACTCCTGCCCCTCCACCAACTCCTCCTGCGGCAACCTCTGCCCTGGCCAGGCCCCCAGCGAAGCCCGCCATCTTTGTCCCCGTGA